GCGCCAGGATGACATAAGTATGTATAGCCTACAACTATAAGATACACTCATGTCAACTCACGTTAGATGAAAATTACAGTCATTTCGGGGTTCCTTCTTATGTTTCATATTGGCACAAACCGAAAACAAGTGCGCTTTGTCTAGGTCAGGGATGGGCAACTTTGATAGTGACGAGGGCCAGCATTTTTTCTCCTTTATACCAGATTACTAATCCACATCCACACACCTTTTACACCGTACTCAATTTCCTTTTTATTGAAGGAAATTAAAGTATAATTAATGTAATTTGTTTTTAAAGATTTTATTTTATGTGCAGTTAAGCTAATTCAGAAGGGAAACTTTGTTGTCAGTTGACAGCAATATTACCAACAAGCCAATGTAAACATCTCAGTTGCGTTGTCTGTAAATTTGCAACAAACAAATTAATTTTTTAAATTTTTTATTAGTGGCCTACAGAACATTCTCAAAACAACAAAAGAGGACAGTTTAAAAAAAAAAAAAAAAAAAATTATTCCAAATGGTAGCCTACCATAAAATAACCGGGTATCTGCAGGGTTTTTAAAAAAAATCTAATTCAAATTAGACCTGCACTTGACATTTCAGCCTTTAAACAATTTTTAAGAAAAGGGATAAGGCAAAAGTTTCAATTATTATATTAATTGAAACAATTATTATCAATCAATGATTATATTAAATAACATAAATATATTTTAGTGTCTTAATTATTATTATTATTAAATTATTATTTTTAATTGTTTCGATTTTTATAATGCATTAGCTTTTTGTCGATCCACTGGTTCACATTTAAAAATATGTAGCAAAAATAGCAGAAGGGCTTATTGAAAAAAGCAAATTCGTTCTCTGCCAGCAGGTTTCACTTTCGGAACGGCAGAATCTATAGCCGCTTTTCCACTGTCGGTCCGAACGGTTCTAAGAACTGTCAGGTACTGTTCCAGTTGTATTTCCACGTGAGCCTGGTACAGCGGCACGATTACAAACCGTTCTCGGCCCGGAATTCTCGGCACGGTTAGACAACCGTGCTGAGCCGTGTAGAGTGCGTGTGCGTGACGTGCCACTCTGTTGCCTGGCTACCAGTTTCTCCATAGCTGGCTAAGCGGAAGCACGCTAGTTGATCAAACAGCAACGTAAACAGCTACGCTACGTTCAATATAAAAAGAAAAAAATATGTCTGAGACAGTTATTTGGTCTGTGGAGGAAACATTTGCGCTCATTGATATTATACCCGTCGTCGCCTTCTGTTTATTTTGTTTTTCACGTCAAGAGTTGTGTCCTTTTTTCTGTTATTGAACGAAGTAAATATCTGATAAAAAAGGAGTCCCAAAAACAGAAATATCTGATCATCGTCCATATCGCTGTTTATATTACACTTGCGTTACCCAGGGGTGGATTTAGTGAATTGGGGGCCCCAGGCAAAATATAGGAATGGGGCCCTATACATTTTCACACATTTTCCTAGATCCTAGGGGGTTGTGCTCTCACAAATGATCAGTGAGAGCAGAACGAATGTGTCACACATTTTAAACTCAACAAAATGGTAAAATACATATATCAAAAAAAATAATGAAAAGGCAATAAACTCAACAAAATGGTAAAATACATATATCAAGAGCATGCTCACAGATGAGAACAAAACAGCGTTGGATGAAGTGGATTAGAGCCCTGCACGGGCCTCAAATATAGGCCCTAACCTGTCTTTTTCCCCTTTTCCCAAAAAAAGCTTATACTACTGCTTCAGCTATTAAAATAGTTCAGTTTTGTAAGTAATGGAAAAGTGATTATATTTCGTTTAGTTTTTTTATAAAGTAAATTTAGAAAAACGTTTGGATTATTTTTTGTTCGTTAATATGTACGTTTTTTTTAAGTAGGCTAACGGCCAGCGGCAGACAGTGAATTGATCGTAGCCTATATATTTGATCAATGAAAGCGTCTGCTAAATGACTAAATAAATAAAATAAATAAATAAATGTGTGCTGTTAGATGCATATCCAATAGTTTGTGCGGAGAGTGGAAGCTAAAGCCAGCTCTGCAGGACACGGAGGCGCCAGCGCGATCACTTGTATTTTTTTTCTAACAGTGGAAACAACTTAATACGCAGTCATTTTTGCTCATAAAGGTAAGAGTAATACATCATTCTAAACTGTAAAGGGGCTAGTTTTATTTGTGTGCACTCACAATATCAACAAAACGTTGTGCTTTTATAAAATAAAGAAAACAAACGCTTTCTGCCATCTCGGGCTTGAACAGGAGCGCTTCACAATGATGAACCTAAACTCCGCGAATTGCCTCACAGACATGATAAAAAATATATAGAAAGCTTTAAATTACTACTTTAATTAAAAAGTAGTGACATGACTTGTCTTAAAAGGACGTTGTATCTATTCAGTGAAATCACAGCCTTTTGAAGTTTAATCATCAAATTAATCTATAAAGCAATTCTTGTCTTTCCGTCCCCAAATTTAAGACCTCTTATAATTAAGACTTTCTGTATCATTTAAGAGTTTTCATGGCCTTACATTTAACGATTTAGCTGAAGACTTTTTAAGGACCCGCTGAAACCCTAAGAACATAATGCAAACATTTCTGTCATGCATTTGGAAAAAAGCTTTTGTTGACAATGCATTTTACCTTTGAAATTTGAGGCAAGTGCAACTCTGTTATCCCTGTTGTTTGTGCGCAGTGATGTGATGGCAATTTAAATAAAATACAGATTCCCAAACATATGACTAATATCCCCTTGAAATTGTTAAAAGATCATCTATTTACCATTTTGACTGGAAAATACTGTTTTCATGGTCAGTTTTACATTTATTATTTGCTAACGTTAGTGAATGTTTACATCAGAGGGCACTACTGCGCTGAAATTAACACGGGGAGCGGCTGGAAACTAGCGACCTCTCCTGGTTGGAGATATTATTAACATTATAAACTGAAAGCAATCTTTACTTGACTTACTTTTAAAATGTTTTAAAATTGATCATCTGAGTCTAATTGAAAAGTTGGCAAAATGTCGTTATATAACACTACCTGAAGTCAATAGTGTGAGCTGTCCCTCAATGCGAGCTTGCCCCACTTGTGGCAACCTTGTGGAGCATGACACAACAGGGTGTAAGAATGTCATATGTAATCGCTGCAGGGTAGAATTCTGCTTTGTTTGCCTGAAAGTCACTCAAGTATGCTTGCAAACAAGCAGTTACTTCATTGGCTGTTCTGATGGGATTGCGCCACGGCAGACTTCCATTCCTTCCTGGAATAGGAATTGAAAACCATTGAAGAAGCCAAACAAAATTATGTTTTAAACATGTGAAATAAAATGTAAAAAATGTGTACCTTGAATGTAATGTAGGTTGCTTTGGATAAAAGTGTCTGCCAAATGCATAAATGACATGTAGTAGGCTATATTAAAATGTCTATTCCTTTTGTGTGTGATTACATATAAAAATCAAATATATAAGGTGAAGGCTTTCTTTCCATTGTTCTTATATTGATTGTTTATTCTCTTACTGCATTTTGTAACCATTTAATTATTTGTTTGCTTATGCAGAGGCATAAATGAGAGTGAATTTGAATATGTTTCATATTGTAGAATGGGTTACATGGCCTCTTAAATTTTCTTCTGCTTTTCCAGGCATAAATTGCTCTAATATACAATAAAATCAGTTCGCTGAGAAATATTGTTGCCATGGTATATTTAATCAGTCCTAAAAACAAAAGTAGGAAAAAATGTTTCTGCAAAGTAAAAGTCAGCACAGATCAGGTATGATGCCAAATTCAACATTATGACAGACAGGTTTTATTTTCACAGTTTTATATTCTGTTACATGTAAACCAAAGGTCTTGGCTGTCTATCTGAGAACTGTGCCATTGGATTTCAAAGAGGAAGACATTCCTTTATTATTCTCTGGAATTTTCCTGTTAACAAGGCAGTGGCTCAAATCTTAGACAGGTAAACAAGTTATTCGACAAACGTTAAATGGAGTTTTCCTTGAAGCCCAAAATATTTATGCAAATATGAACAGATCAGATGTGGTTAGACGCTTAGTTTCAAGTGAACGCTCAAAATACATTATTTGGGTAACACTTTAATACATTAACATTAACTAATGGAACCTTATTGTAAAATGTTACAATTATTTGTTATTAAAGCATATATGTTCACAAAAACACTTAAATTAAACCGAAAACCAAGCAGCTGCATGATTTGGCATGGCAGCCAATACAAATAATTAATAACCGTTTGCTAGACTGTTATACAAACTAAAGTCCCGCCGTCCCCCTCGGTCTGGACATACTGTATAGGACTATGAAGTACAGACTAATAAAGACTCGCAATGCCGCAAAATTTAAAAGGTTGTTGTGAGCCACATAAAAGGTCTCTAAGCTATATCAGTTAAACAAATGACTCGCATTAAAGGTTTGTAAACATTCAAGGAACATAAATCTTTTTATTCCTACCACGATTGTGGGCAGAGAAGAAATCGCATGAAAGCAAATGTTGACCCAAATATGAAAACTCTCTTACTTATCCTCACGTGGTAGAAACACAAAATTACAGCCTATAATGTGTGCACTCTTTTGAAGGACTCGCTTCAGAAAAAAATCTCATTTATGCTTCTGAAAATTAAAATTGATGTTCAAACCTGGTGCCCGCACAATTAGGACCATTGACAATTTAGATGTGTGTACTGTACGAAATGACTTATGTAAATCTTTAAAATAATCCTCTCCTAAATTGATTAACACCTCTAATGATGTAGTCTTAATTTGTGAAACGATGCATCTCCAAATATGGTGCATGCATAGCATGAGATTTCAGCTCATCTGTAACTTCCTACAGATCTTTTTGTTTCCTTCTGCTTTGTAATTACAACCTTGTTTATCACTAGTGAAACAGATCTCAAAAACCTTTAGTCACCATCATTAGATGCTATTCTATTTGTTATAGACATTTCAAAACTTAAAGATGCACATAAAAAGACATGTCTGATTATATGTAATCTTTATTGAGCATGAGCCAATGCATTTCATTCTAAACAATAAAAATAAAAATAATAATAAACCTTTACAACAAAACAACTGGACCCATCTGTTAACATTAATACAAAGGAAAAAAACTCTTCATAGGGGCTATTCAGAAGCAGAACCATGACTGGGCATTGTCTGTGTTGAGCAGCCACCCTGCTTTTGAGACTTGAGCTTCTTGCAGTATTTCTAGAGAAGAGAAAAAGGATAGACGTTAACTATATAAACAGATGTGTTCAGTCTTGAATAAGAACAGTATTTTAATTTAAAAGGGTACCAGTTTTTTTTAAACCGGTAAGAAATTAACATTCAGAATTAAATCAGAACTTGTACCTCCATGTTCTGGTAATGCTTTAGGCTACTACAATGACTTTTCTTAGCAGTTTCCTCATTGCCATAGAATAAAGAGCAGAGTCTGCAGAAGAAACCCGTCTTGGGCACCACAAAGTCAACCCCTACGAAACAGATAAAAAAAAAAAAACATTAAAGATAACTTTGCTTGGAGATAATGCATTTGATTTAGTCATTATTAACAGTATTATCAAACAAAGATTTTTTTAATTTTTTTATATAAAGTCAATAGGTTGGCTTAACTGATGTTTGCATAATTTCTAGTGGAACTCTTACCAATGGGATTGTCTGGGTTAAACGGGGGCAAGGTGAAGTCTTCAATCACAGGGGAATGAGAGTGGGCCTTCTTAGCCTCTGGTTCCTGTGTCGGCTCCGTCTCCCGCCTTTGCTTGGACTCTTCTGCAAATGAAAACGGAAAAAAGCAACAGGTAAGAACACTGGTACCAACAAATGCTAAATAACTATCAATGAGATTAAACACCTTTGATTGTGGATTTTCTGTCAGAGACTGGTGTGTCAACAGTATCACTTTCTGACTTTGCAGAGTTGCCATCATCTTTAGCTCTCGTCTTGTCCTCTTCTGACCCTGAAGAGACCTCTGCAGTGACCACTGCAGCCGATGAATCTGGAACTTTTAAGGTTTCAGCCTTTTGCGGTTCTGGCTTAACATCAAGAACCAAGGATTCTACAGCTGCAGGAGGACTCTCACTTATGGAAGCAGCTGCCTCTGGTTCACACTCCGCATTTGTCTCGGGCTCCTCTGCTTCTTCAGCACTCTTTGTCGCCCCTCTTTTACTTCTTGTGGATCTCCTCACTACAGAGAGCAAAAGGAGACAATAGTGCTTACACTTAGAAATACATCTCATCTGAGTGTTTAAAGAGAAGGAAACTCTGCTTTCTCTCTTTTACTCACCTGGGGTCTGGCGTGCTCTCTTTTTGGCCCTTGTAGCTCTCTTTTTAACTTGTTTCTCCTCTTTGACATCTTCACTGGGTGGTTGTTCCTCTTCCTCCTCCCCTACTTCGTCCACAGTTACAAAGTTCATCTTGCGGAGTTCTTCAAAGTCACAGGCATCCTCTTCTTGGCTTGGTGATTTCACCAGCTCCTCTGGTATGACTGGTGTTGTGGTGCTTGGCTTGTCTTCACTATGCTCCACTTCCTCAATCTCCTCATCGTCACCCTTGGCCTCATCCAGGGTTACAAGAGTCTGGAAAGACAAAGAAGAGGTCATGTCAAACTAGAAGAATAAAACCAAACCAAGGTAGCCTTAATGAGTGTTTTGAACACAATTTTGGGGGTAGCAACCAAAAAAACCGACCTCAGGATTGAATGAATCAAACTCCTCCTCTTCATCAACAATCTCATCCAATGTGACTAGACCTTGAAGTTCTTTGTCCAACTGGTATTCTTCACCCCCCGTTTCATCATCTCCAACCTCATCAACCGTTAAAAGTGTCTCAGGCACTTCATCAGCCTTCGAATGCTGTTCTTCATTTGTTTCATCAAGAAAATCTTCCTCACCCTCACTGACCTCATCAAGAGTGACCATTGCATCATGGGATGGAATGTCAGAGATTACAGTTGCCTCATCTTTATTGTCCATCACTGGGGCAGAGGTTTCAGGCTCCTCGGGATGGACATCTTCTGATTTCTCTAAAGTTTCTGCAGAAGTTGGTGGACAGCCTTCCTTCTGTGAAGGAGAGGAAGAAACTGACTGACTTGGCTCAAATTCATCCAAGGCCCCAATGTCATGGTGTTCTTTCATGGTTAAAAGGGTCTCAGCATTGTTGTCCATCTCTGCTGAAGCGGTTTCTGCTACAGTACAAGGCTCTGTTGTCTCGTTCTTAACAACGGCAGTTTCCATCCTTTCAGTTCCAAGCGGTTTATCAGCACTCTCTTCCTGAAGCTCTTGCTCTTCTGGTTTTGGAGATGCAACAACTTCTGCAGCTGGTGTGGTTTCTTCAGTCTTGGCTTCCATTTTATCCACACATCCAATAACTTCTGGTTTTCCTATCTCAGAAGCAATTATCGTGTCAGTTATTTGGTTTGGTTTATCAGCTGGACCAGACTCTGCAATAGGAGAGACTATGGAGTGGGAATCGGGTTTATCCTGGATCTTCTCGTCCTTGGCTGAAGACTCAGTATTTGAGACCGCAGTGTCCTCTGCATCATCCCCGACTTCATCAACGGTCACAAACTCATCAATGTTAAATGGAAACGGTTCCTCCTCTTTTTCCTGGAAAGCACAAATTCTTAATCAGCAATCCCTATCTTCAGTCATTAGACTGCAAGTCTGTTAAATGTTGAAACTTACCTTTTCAGCTGTCCTTGTTTTTGAGTGACCCCTTGAAGGCTGTGAGTTTTTACTATGACTCTATAAAAAGGCAAATAAATCAAGCGAAAAGATTAAAATTTCAGTGATTAAGAAAGTGACTGAGAAAAACAGAAACATCAAGGTATCATTTCAAACATCTTAAAACAATAGTCATATATATAGTTAGTACACCTCACCCTGCGATCAACATCATGCCCCCTTGAGCGCTTTGATGGAGGGCTGGAATTCCGCCTGCTCCTCCGGGAGGAGAAGGACCCAGAAGATCCCCCACGCCTGGTGGTAGGGCCATCTTCTTCAGAATTACCCCTGCTCCTGTGCCTAGATGTTGGCTCTTTCTCTGGGGATGAGGTGTCCACAGGCTTGCTCCTGGACCCAGAGTTCTGAGACTTTTTCTCTTTCTCGGCCGGAATCTTTTTGCTCTCAGCTTGAGTGGACTTCTTGGTCGCTTGAGCAGGCTTCTTTGAGCTTGATGGATCTTTTGTGGTTTTCTTCTCTGCAGCTTTTTTCTCCATCTCTGCCTTCTGTTTGGCTTCTTCTTCAGCACGTTTTAATGAAGACTGTAAGCGACACTGATGGACAGCTAATTCAAGGGCCTTCAAAATCTCCTGCGTAACCGGAGGAAAGTCCAGAGAATTGTCGTCAATCTGGAAGGGCTCAAGCACCGTTTGAGGACTGTTTGAGGCACATGTAACTGTGACAGAAGAATTACTGACAGTTTGATCAGAAGTGGAGGGTAGGTCAGAAGCAGGATCAAAGGGTGGAATGGAGTCAGATGCAACAACTGCAGGGACATGCTCTTCAGCAGGTTCGGTTTGATTATTAGACTGAGGATTGATGTCCATCTCTAAAGGTTCAGTTGGTCTCAAGTCATTGCCCTGGCCCTCATTTTCTATCTTGAGCTCATGTGTTTCCAAAACTTTCTCTCTGACATCAGTGCCTTTGGTAGGTTCTTCTGGACTCTGGGTCTCCATGGCCTCTTCTGCAGTTTCCTCACTGCTAACAGTTGAAGCAACAATCTCCATTTGTGACTTGGACTCAACATTATCGTCATCTTCTAACTTTTCATTGTCAATTTTGCTTTCTTCCACAGATGTAGGAACCAATTCTTTGGGAACATCTTCAGCCTGCAGCACATTCTGATCATTTATCTTGAACGAAATCCCTGTCTGATCAGTTGTGTCTGTTAAAATGGAAGTTTCTAAGGAAGCCAATTCATGCTCTGCTTTTGCAGACTCCACTGAAACAGCAGATTCTCCTGAGGGAGCTGAGGATGCAATATCAGGCTTTGTTTTCCCAGACTCAACTGAAACTTCAGATTCTGAAGTGGAAACAGCGGATGCAACTTTAAGCTCTGTTTTTCCAGATTCTGTAGCGGGAACAGAGGATCCCAATTCATGCTCTGTGTTTGGAGATTCAACTGAAATGGCAGATTCTGAAGCAGAGACAGATGATTCAAATTTAAGCTCTGCTTTCCCAGACTCAGCTGAAACGGCAGATTCTGAAGAGGGAACAGAGGATCCAGTTTCAAGCTGCTTGTTCTCAGATTGAACTGAAATGACAGATTCCGAAGCGTGAACAGAGGATTCAACTTCAAGCTCCTTGTTCTCACTCTCAGATTCTGTCGTGGGAACTGAGGATCCAGCTTCATGCTCTTTTTTCAGAGTTTCAGTCTCAAGGGTCTCCATGACAGTTTCATTAACAGCTTGGGTATCCTTCTTTGCTTTATTCTCAGGAGTAGCTGTTTCCGCATTAGCAGACACATCAACAGTAAGGTCTTTGGGAACTGCAGAAATTTTAGTTGCAGCTGTATCAGCATTCACCTTTTCTTCACCAACACTTTCTTTCAAACTTTTGCTTGAAACAACACTTTCCTCTGCTTTAGCCACAATAATAGCAGCTGTTTTTGGAGCTTTGTCTTTTGTGACAGGTGGATCTGCAGTAGATGCAGCAGAAGCTGTTGCTGCAGCCACTGGCTTCTGGGCTTTGACGGTATTACGTTTTTTTATTGTCGCTGCTGTTGTACCAGGAGGGTTTGCTCTAAGAGGAGAGTTAAACATGAGAGAGAAAATTGACATTTCCAGAACCCTTTGTATAAAATAAAAGCAAAATATGTATTATCTCCTCTCTTACCCTTTTGCTACTGGCTTCTTTTTTAGCTGTTAAATAAATAACAACATGGTTAGTTGAATTTTTAATTAATTGCCCATGTAAAAGAATTGAGGTGATGTCACTCATGCAAATACTCGCTAAAGTACCTTGAGTGGTTTGGCTAGTTGGAAGTTAAGGGTATTGTTCTGGACCACACAACGAAACTTGAGGAAGCGACTGAAGATAGTCCTGGCGTTAGCAACACTCTCCATTTCAAAAATAATCTTGAAAGAAAATAAAACAATAATGCAACAGTCAGGTAAGACACATTTCCCTTTAATAAAAGAAAGTAGAAGAGTAGGAAAGTAGGAAGATGAAGACCCAATGTTTGTTTATAATCACTACAATACTGTTTTTCCTGTTTCTCTGCAAAGATATTATGCGAGTAAAAGTAAAAATAAGATTGTTTAATTAATATAGAAGTTGAATTTGAGCAGCCTACCTTGCCATTTAGAGGCAAAACTTTCTTGAAGCCACCATAGCGTTGAATTATGGTCTCTACTTCCTTGATTGCCCCAAGTGTTTTTGGCACATTATTAACAATGAGAAGGCGTTCTGGCAAAGTAATGATTTCCTGCAGTCAGGAGGGAAAAAAGAGAGAGTCTGAGACATGATACAGGTAGGCTTTGCGATTAGGAAATCGCAACGTCTCAAATCGCGAATTCGATTCGATTTCGATTAATCGCACAGCACTAATTCAGGTTATTTCATTTTATTATAATTCAGTGTCATCATTTTGTCATTTACTTACAGGCGATTTCTCCATGCCCACAAGCACTCTGAATACTGACTCCTTTGGGGCAGATAAAGATAAAACAGTCAGTCAATACTAACCAGTATTAATGAAGCGAGTATAAATGTACTTGAGACATAATGCACTCTCTCTCTCTCTCTGATAGACAACAGAGTGTGTTCATTATTGTTGCATTTTTAAGTGAGAACACAGAATGTTTAATAACTTTAAATTAAGAACCAAAACATACATAAAATGTTGTTGGACATTTATAATTTTTTCCCCTATGCGTAACGTTGACAGAGACAGAGATGAAGAGCACACTCACAGTGTAGTTCAGGTCGATAGGTTGCATCATCATCTTGATGGTAATCTCTTTGTCTTGCACTTTAGCTGGTGTCTCCGAGTAGGCCTTCACCATTGCTTCAACTGCCTCTGTGTTGGGCATCTGCAGATAGGCCTAAAAAAGCATAAAAAATACTGTTAAAGTAAATACAATAAAATATACAAAAATTATATACATGTTAATATAACAATGTAATACAAAATATTTAATAGAAAGCCATCAACCCATTTTTAAATCAAGGATTTTTTAATGTAATTTCCTAATATTATTACCTTTTGTTGAATGAATGCTATGACAGGAGTTGCAACGAAGCCATATGGTTTAGCAAGGTTGGTGAGGTCATCCTCAGTAACCCCTTCCTCTGGAAGATTCGTAATCTCAACTATATTTTTTCTCCAGGGTATTTCCTGTAGTCAAAGAAAGAGATCAGATGTAGCTGTTTTAACAAACTGAATGGTTTTTATATGTGGAATAAATAAATAAATAAATAAAAAACACCATTTGGAGGGAGAACACAAAATAACATACCTTCTTTACTAACTTCTTGGCAACAACTGCTGTCTCTGTCAAATTATACAAGCAAAAGTTATAGAGATTATCCTGCATGATCACAGGAACAATTACAGATGAAGATGTATTAACTTACCTGAACCTTTAGCAGGGAGTTTAGCTTTAGCTGTCTGTACAGTCTTTTTGGGGACACTGGATTTTCCCTTGGTTAATTGAGACGTCTTAGAACCTGTCGCCTCTTTAGCTTTAGCTGACTGAGGTGCCTTCACTGGGTTTGCACTCTTTACTTTTGCTGATTGGGTTGGTTTTGTTGTAGTCACCTCTTTTCTGTAATGAAACACAAATGCATTTACAGAACCTTTTGTAATGTGTAAACAATGCTTTTATGTATAATTCAAAAATATGAAATATAAAAATCAACAGTTATTTCTAGATGCACTGCATAACCACTGCATGCGTGAGAACTTACTTCTTAACAGGTTTTTCGGTCTTAACAGATTTTCTCCCATCATCATTTCTTGCATCCTACAAAAATGCACAAATTGGATCTAATGTCAGGGCTTGGTATGGTTCATCTGTAAGGTGACTTGACAAAGAGTCAAACATACCTTCTCCATGCAGACATTAATAACCTGTCCATGAATTGTCAGGTTCTTACAGTTGAGCAAAGCTTTGGCATCCTCCTCTCTCTCCATACACACTGAGGCCTGAAGAGAGTAAGAACCACAAATGTTTGCAACAGCTACACAAACTACATTTCAAATGCACATATTTGCATTACACTAGCATAAAAAATTTTGGGGCCAGTAAGTTTTACTTTCCTTAGAAAAGAGTTAATACTTTTACTTACACTGTTACACAAAAAGTTTCTATTCAAAGATTCCAGAAAAAAAAAAAAAATGTTTTTCACAAAAATATTTTGCGGCTGTTTTCAGCTGTGGTAATAAGAAATGTTTCTCAAGCACCAAATTAGCATATTAGAATGATTACTGAAGGATCATGTGACACTGAAAACTGGAGTAATGTTTGCCATCACAGGAATAAATTACACTTTTTAAAATATATTAAAATAGAAAACAGTTATTTTAAACTGAAATAATATTTCACAATATTACTGATTTACTGTATCCTTACTTTTTTAAATATATTAAAATAGAAAACAGTTATTTTAAACTGAAATAATATTTCACAATATTACTGATTTACTGTATCCTTAAACAACTAAATGCAGCCTTGGTGATCATACGAGACTTTCAAAAACATAAAAAAAAATCTGACCCCAAACTTTTGAACAATAGTGTACATTTTTTAAAAATTTACAAACCCAGCAAACACAACTTATGTTTTCATGTTCTCTTCTAAGCAAAATAAAAATGGTCACAGAAAAAGTATTCAAATGAACTTTGTTGACATGAACTGGTCATTTATGTGAGCATATATATATATATATATATATAATTTTTTGGTATAAAAGAAAAATCGATAATTTTGACCCATACAATGTATTTTGGCTATTGCTACAAATATACCCCAGCGACTTAAGACTGGTTTTGTGGTCCAGGGTCACATATATATAAATTAGTAAGTCTGACATGTGAATGTGAAATGTGAATTCCAAAGCAGTGAAGGCCACACATTTTACACAGAGGTTGATAAGAAACTAATTAACTACCTGCACTGTGCTGTACATTCAAAAATCAAAGCAAAATAAAACCACAAATGGTAAACATTATTTTTACCTCATTAATCGCCTTGAGGAGGATGGCAGTATAAATCTTGCCAAAAGGTTCAATGGCATCAGTCAGTTCTTTGCTTGTAGTCCCAAAAGGAATTCGCATGAGCCTCAACAAACAAGATGTGCCAGGGGCATCCTTGGCTCTTGGCTTCACATCACGCAGAAACAAAGAGAGATAGCAATTAGATTTCATACACAATGCCCTACATTCATCTCTACTTTTTTCAAAAATGTTTTCTAATGACCCTGATAGAAATACGACAATACAATGACCTCAAAGCCAAAGTAATGGAGGAACAAACAGCCTTTAATGCAATATGAGGATGTACCTTTGGAGTGCTGGAGGACTTTGAGGTGGAGGTTCTGCTTGACTTGGAGTACTCAGCTCTCTTAGGAGGGGAAGACCGTTTCCAACTACTGCTGCATCCCTTTGATGAGGAAGTAGTGGAACTACTTTTCTTCTTTGCTAGCTCAGCAAGCAGGGCTGGTGCCAAGGATTTCACCACAGCCTTCAAAGTATTACTGTCTGTGATAGAGGAAAGCTCAGCTGTGGGCAAGAAAAGAACTTCATGCATTAGTACACCAAGTGATTTGAAAGCAAACTGTATACTTCATTGCAAAAGCATTGCAATGAAAGATCTTACTTGAAGACATGAGTTTCATGGCCAGTCGTTCACTACTGCTAGATCTCTGCTGACGGGAGGGGCTGCTCCGACGGGGGCTTGAACGGCGTACAGGAGAGCGCCTACTGTAAACTGGAGACCTTGACCGTTGAGATGGTGGACTACGGGACCTCCGTCTGTAAGGACTGACTCGAGTTTTCCTATGGGGGGACCGGCTGTGACTTCTGGAACGCCGGTACCTTCTAGGGCTTCGGGAGGGGGAGTGGGAGCGTGAACGCGATCGTTTACGACGGCTTGAGGAGTCATGGTGCCGCTTCGGGCTGGGGGATCTGGAGTACGAGTGCGATCGGGTGCGCCGCTTTGAGCTGCTGTGGTCTGATTTGGGCTCAGGTCTGTGGATGATTGACACATTTTCAAGTGAATTTAAAAACCTTCTTAACATTCTTAACATAAGATTAATTCTATTTCTAGAACTAAATGTCCACGATTGGATATGGTAGAGATTTACCTTGTAACAGAGACAGCCTCAACATTCCAGTCAGGATATCTATAATAACAAAACAATATAAATTAGAAATTTTCCAGTGGAATTCTTGAGCAATAGAAGCCACTCATAAAAACACTCACAGTTGCCTAAGACGTCTACAACTCTCAATGTGAAGATTTGTGTTCTGATGTTCAAGCCAGTCCTGTAGAAAAACAAAAAGCTTTAATTATCAATGTTTCTGCTTTAATAAATACTTGTTTAGTGTTTTAAACTGTGCAACTGATTAAAAAAACAGATCCACAAAACGTTGAATAGAGAGCTACAAACTTTCAAAAAAAGAAAAGAGGAATACCAGAATTCCAAATTTGACACATGATAAAGCTTGTTAAATCCACTATCGTCTCATTAGAATAAAAAGTCCATGATTTTTGACGACAAAACTTTTTCCGACATGAAAAAAATCCAAAGCGTTGCTTCAGGTATTACGAAGATCGCCATCTGCCTTTTGTCTTCAGCATTGTGTAAAGTCATCAGGTCTGTCTTCACATCAGGTACATTTTTTTTTCAGCCAGTCCAAAGTCTTAAACTAGGTTTCAACAAAATGGTTTTTCATCGGGCTTCCCTCAGGTTTCCAGAAACCTGACTGATAAATCTCCTTCTGAAACTGGAATTGGCTTGAAGTAGTCAAGATACACTTTTTTTTTTTGTCAGTTATTATCTACTCTATTTACATCAAATTATTGGCAAATATTTTTTAACCCACAATGAGGCAACTGCACAATTAATGAGCAAATTAAGTTAACAAACATTAAAATTTCATTACAGGTTTCTGACATTTTATTTCATAGTCAAATTTAGTACAGTTTTAGCTCAAAGTTCACCAACACATTTAAATGAATAAAACAGCAGGTGAAACCCTTTACATTAAAAGAAAAAAAAGCTTTCAAATGAGGCACTACTGGGTAAGAAGATACTCACCTTAATCTGGATACATTCAATGTTACATAGAGAGCATGTATGAGGAAAGATTCTTGGAGTAGCTGCGGAGTAATCGTTCATCATGGTCGGAGTTGGAAGCCTCTTCGTGGCGGGCAGGCTGATTGGAGGTGAAAGGAACGGGATCCAGTTAGCATTCGGACCTCCGGTGATAGTATTAATGGTCATCAAAGGAAGAACACCAAGTTGAGGTGGAATCTGCGAAGGAGGTCGACTGGAAGGTGGCAGAATAGGCTGGGAAGCAGATGGTCTCGCTGGAATCTTCTTAGTGGGTCTCGGATCTACTAGTAGAGGTTTCTGAAGCTTTGGAACTTGTACAGGGCCTGGAGCTGGTTGACACGGCTGAGGATGCTTTGTGATGTCCATGCCACTGAAGGGTGGTCCAGAGACCTTCCTCACATACTTTGGTGACTCTTTAGGCAGGTGTTCACTTGCATAGCCATCCGGGCTCTCCTCAGGATAGCCAAATTTACTAGAATGTCCATAGTCAATAACTTTGCTGTATTCAGATCTCGCATCAACGTCCCTCTTCGCTTTACGCATTCGGATGTCTCGTAAAATAAACGGTAGGTTGTCAGGGGTCAGCTTATCATCTGGATAGTGGCTTAGAAGTTCTAGGTCCTCATTGGAAAGTCCAAAACTTGCTAGGATGCTGCTGGCACTTTCAGAGGTGTAGCGTGAAGGCCGCTGTCCTGGTGGTCGCTGGCTGTCCAAACCACTTGATCCTCCACCAAATCCCGTTGACTGGAATAGCTGTGAAGAACTGGAAGGACGATCCAAACCTGAAGATGCAAAGAGCTTGCCTGGGGATTGGTATATGGACCAGTCCACCTCATCAGATCGCGAAGTCCCTGAAAAGCCGCTCCCGGAGGAAATCACTTCATCCCTTGCATCCTCTCTCATACGGGGATCTGCTTTTTTGGGTTGCTGGAGCATTTGAGTGAGAAGGCGAACTTCCTCACGGGCTCCCCGAAGGTTCCGATCTATGGCGGCTTCGAGATCTGGGGAAATCTGCGACTGGCGTTGTCCCAGTGAGAAGGGCTGGTTGACCATCAATCCTCCGCGAGAACTGGATATGGAACCTGGGCCAAGACGGGCTGCCCCCAGATCCATTCGAGGCTGTGACCCAAGACCATATTGGCCAGGCACAACGGGTCTCTGACCACTGTGGAACGGCCTTCCACGGGGATTATATAATGGATGTGACATGGTGACCTTAAGCAAGTTGAGCAAGGTCAAAGCAGGTGAAGCAATTGCAGGCGGAGTGACGCTTGTGCCAGCAATTGCATTCAGCTGGTGCAGTGCCAACTGAGTCTTTATCTGTGCCGGCTGGAGGGAGACAGGGCCTAAAAGCGGCAGACTCCCAAAATGCCTCAATGCAACAGGGGGCACACAACTTTCCAAGAACAATGAAAAGCTGGAAAAATTAAGGGGGAAAAAAACAGAAAGGGTTATTGGCTTGTCGTCTTCACACAGAAATGGCAAAACGGATGTGACCATTTTCCCCTTCTGAAACACACTCTCAAATCTCCAGCTTCTAGGGATTTAAACAGGTTTCCATGTCTTCACTGAAGAAGAAAAAACAGCAAGCAAAAAGGACAAGACAGACCAAGGAAAATAATATCACAGTTTAGGTGTATCTTCACACAACTTTCATGCATGTGTTTTAGTAAGGTTTTTTGTCGCCTGAATGTAAACAGGGAGGGACAAACATGCCTCAACACAGGACAACATGACAGGCCAGACTGTTAATTTATAGATATTAGGCAACTGTAATTTATTAATAACCTGTGAGCAGTACTTCAACGTTTTACATTATTGTTGGTTTGATATAATTAGAGTCTGGACTCAATAAAAAAAAAGAGCTACAGAGCTGCTGCACTGAACATTTCTGAAGGAAATAAATAAATCAACAATTTCTAACTAAGCAACCAGGCAGTGTTGCCAAGTCGGCAGTTCTCCTGCGGGACTGGGCCACTTCTATACTGTTGCTGTGGGGTTTTTTTTTTTTTCAGTCCGCCCTGCTTCCCTGGAATGCTATTTCTAAGAAGGTGGAAACCCCTGGAAGTTGGTTTTGACTCCGAACACGATTTTGACAGCCAATTTCCCCTGGAACAAGATCGGGCTAGTTTTGAGTACCAATTGGGCTGTTTTTGTTATGCAGACTTACCAAACCTGCAACCAGGGCTGCTTTTTTCAATGGTCACTACAATCTACTTAGGCATATAGTCCAGATCAAATAAAACAAAGACACGAGTGTTGTAGCACTACAATTCATCTCTCTCTACATCAGGTTTTTCCAGCAGTAAAAGTGTCAGAAAAGTCAAAAGGAAACAGCAATCACCACCCATTCTAGGTTCTAGCATCCAAGCGTCTATAATGTCACACATTTCCAAATTTTATTTAAAAATTTTTTAAAATAAAATATATAATTATATCCAACTTGGGAACAAGTCCTTTTCAGATCTGTCTTTATTTGCCATCACTGCCATAACCTTAGTTAATTGGCATTAGCTGGCATTAAATGAAATTTCTTATTTTTTTCTAAATGCATGTTATTGATCTTATTGCGAATGATTCACCCATGTATGCATTTGAGAGACGGATCTACTAAATTGTTGAAATATTATAAAACCTTTTTTTCCCCTCATGAATAACGTGCACTAAAAAAAACTGCACATCAAGACCAATATTATGCATCAAGTTCAACCCTCTATGGACACCTTGGCAATTGAATCGCCATTGGCTAGAAAATTTTTTAGTTTACTCGCCAGACTGATAAATAAATAAATAAATAAAATATATATATACCGTAATGTCCCGAATATAAGACGATGTTTTTTTCTTGGAAATACATCTGAAAAGACGCGGTCGTCTTATATTCAGGGTCTAGACTTTGACATGTCAATAATACACCCACAACACTAGGTGGCAGCAAAACCGCATAAAACGAGTGTGCCATGAAATACGTAATGTGATGCATGTTGTCTTCGGACTGGTGGTGGTGCTTTTTTGGTCATTCAGTGTTTCTGTAAAAAAAAATTGCGGAAAAAACGAACAAAAATACTGAAAAGATAATAATGATACCAATTCTACTAATAAGAACAATATAAAACGCACTAAGGATTAATAAGCTGCTGGATTCATGAATATTAATCAGGTTGTGTGCATTCGCTCGAACT